AGCAGCAGCAGCGAGAACGGGCATTGTCTGGTTGCCTCAAAGGTTATTGGCCAGAAAGACAGTATCAACCAAGGTTTGCATGCGTTCTATTCGCCACCGAGAGAGGCTAGCCTTTGCGGGACCTGATTGGCTGTTGCAGAGGTCGCCTTAAGTGCCGAAGTACTCGTTAGCGGCAGCGAGCCTTCGGACATGCTCGCCTATGTGGAGTGAGTTACCACAAGGGGACGAGGAAGGGGGAGAGTATTCATTCATAAACAGTGTCGGCCGTGCGAATATGCCTGCGGAGAGCGATACATGCCGGCGCCCGGTCGATAGATCGATTGACTGAGCTCTCATCCAAAGCCTAGGCTTCAATCAATCCTCGGCCTGTCTTGCTGCCGGTGTGGGCCATTGTCTTCGTAGCTGCGAAGTTAAACAAGTAGCCCGTCTTGTAGGTGTGGGCCGCCACTTGCGACAACGCGTCGCCCCTTCTGAAAGCCAGCTTATGTTTGTGTATGCACGATCCAAGCATGCATTCAGTTTGCCCTGTATAATTATAAGGACAGCTTAGGCATTGTCCATTGGGGGTTCAGCCGGTCTTTTATTTTCATTACCCGGTTGCGCATGGTTGCCTTGGGTCTGTGTGCAACTCCAACACCTGGTTCTACAGCGATGCCACCAGTCGCTTCTGAGACGTCCTTGAAGTATGGCAGAGCGTGCTATATACTCGGTGGTTCTTCTGTTTGGGTCCTCCGGGGCCGAACGCGTAGGTCTCGGTTTGTAAATGCTTTTGCATAAGCATTCCGCATAAATTGGTCGAGGAGATATCAGGCCTCGCGAACCTTTTCCTCCGGCCTACTGCAGTGGGTCTGAATCAGTTTTAAGGGCGCTTTTAAACAGCTTCGTTTGTGAGCAACCGAATGGTTGCTGTGACTACTGAGAAGTTGTGTTGTTTTCGTTGCCTTCCTGTAAACCGTCGTCTGAATTTCAGCGTTTGGCGTTCCCTTGACGAGGATGTCAAGGTTAGGCAGCTGCTGCTCTTTTTCTTCTTCTCTCGTGAATTGTATATCAGGAAACATGCCATTGAGCAACTTATGGAAATTGTGGAAGGTCTATGCCTGCATGCGTGTGTACGTGAAAAAAGATCATTTTGATACCTTAATTTAGCTTCCTTGCTACTGTCGTAGATTATTAATAGTTGCGGAAGTGTTATTCATGCTAGATGAGGCTAAGTAAAGTTAATACAATTTCCTTAGTTTGAATTGGTCAGGTGCTATTTATCCAAGGGCCTCAGGCCGATGGTAGAAGGAGATAAAGTGTTTGCAACCGAACAGTGTGCTTTTTATGGAATTCTATCCTTGTAGGTGTGTGTGCATATGAAAAAGCTCCTTTAATACGTTAATTTACTTCCTCCCCTGCTGCCCTAAGTTCTAGAAAGGTGTCTTCGTGCTA